GGGGGGGGGGGGGGGGGGGGGTGATTTGGATCGATAAGTTCAAAGGTGTTTACGACTTCTCTTTGTGATCAGTGAGTAAACTGCATCATATATTTTGTGTGGTTTATTTTTCTGTCTTCAACTCCATCAGGCTTCGATTGATTCCAAGGCATTAAAATTAATCAACCATTTTAGCTTACGGTTTGTGAACTCTTAGAATTAGCAATAAATGTACACCCTAGTTTAATTCATTTTGGTGTTAATTTAACACAAGGAATGGTTGATATACCACCATACGTTTGCTGTAGCAGTCAATCTTATAGCATATGATATTGTGTACATTATTGTCGTCAATCCAGAACTCCTCCGGGAAAATAAGAGGATGCTGGACAAATCGATCAGAGAAATTGAAAGGGAGAGACAAGGCCTTCAAACACAAGAGAAGAAACTGATTGCAGAGATAAAGAAAAGTGCCAAGCAAGGGCAAATGGTGCATTTTCTTTAATTTTTTCTTCTTTTCTTTTATAAAACACCATTCTCATTGAAATTCCTTATTTGTAATCACTGGGATTCTCAAGAACCTGGGGCAGTTGGTCCATATATCATATGTGGAAGTTTCATGATTAAAATAAAAAAGGGGGGAAACCATTATAATACTCTACAATTGTTGTTTTTAGGATTGAAAATGTCACTTAGATACGGTATGTTACTGTTGCAGGGAGCTGTAAAAGTGATGGCAAAAGATCTTGTTAGAACCAGGCACCAGATTGAAAAATTCTACAAGCTTAAATCACAACTTCAGGGCGTATCTCTTAGGATTCAGGTAGAATTTGTTTCCCCATTTGTGCAAGATCATTATGTTCGTACGTCCTGTACTAGAAACATCTTAAATTTTGTACAGCATTTTATATATTACGAGTGGCAACTTTTATGATATCTTAATATTCTTGTTAAACCCAACTTTTTAGACTTTAAAATCAACTCAAGCAATGGGAGAAGCGATGAAAGGCGTGACGAAGGCAATGGGACAAATGAATAGGCAGATGAACTTGCCATCCCTGCAGAAGATTATGCAAGAATTTATGAAACAAAATGAAAAAATGGAACTGATGACTGAAGTGATGGAAGATGCAATGGATGACGCTTTGGAAGGGGATGAGGAGGAGGAAGAGACAGAAGAATTGGTCAGCCAAGTTCTTGATGAAATAGGAATAAACATGAATCAAGAGGTAGTTTTCTCTTCAATAAGCCTCATTTTCTTTTGCTGGTGCAATGTATCAACCTCAATCCAAATGAATGACTAATCTAACCATTTTCCTGTTTGAACTATTTCCCCCCCTCAGCTTGTGAACGCCCCGTCAACTGCTGTCGCTACCCCGGCAGCGAAGACAAAGATTGCACAAGCAGAAGCAACAGGGAACGACGACGGTGGGATAGATAGCGATCTTCAAGCCAGGCTAGACAACTTAAGGAGAATGTAAATTCTAGACCTTCATTTCTTGTGTTATATTCAAATCGTCCATCCTGCAGCAAGGAGAGACCATTTATGCCACTGTCATATAATACTCGTTAAATTTATGCCATAATTTCCTAACCTTGTTTTGACCATATGAGAGAATTACAATGGATCAGCATTCATTACTAACATCCATGGACCCATTACCATGCATTGGTTTTCTTTTACAGGTTCACAACATGGAAAATACTTGGCTAATTTATTTACGTAAGTCTCTCATATTCGATTTTAATTCAGTCCTTACATTTTCGAAGGTTTCAATTTATCTCTATTCATTTAGATTCTATCGTTTAGAATGTCTCTAGCATAGCCAGTAACGTCGATAGAGATGTTCTAGACAGGTTTAACTAAGTTATAGGACTAAATTGAAACTTACTTACCGAATCGATTTGAAGCTAGAAGAGAGACCAAAGTGTTTGGTATGGTTGTTTTTAGTTGGCCAGGGATCATCTTGATGCCCTAAATGAACTGTAAAGTGATGATAAATTATATGCATAATAGAGAGAGAATAGCCTTCTAATAATCATAGGGCCTATAGAAGAAACACCACAGCTAAAATGCCTACAACTTTTATAATTCCTCATTATCCTCCTCATCCTTTGGGCCACACAACATCATCGAAGACAAGAGAATCAGAATTTTCCAAATCCAACCACCCATTTCAAAATTATAAACTAACAACCAATGTCTTAAACCAAGCTACCGGATTCCAATAGGCCATACCCTGAATTCTCCTGTTACTCCGCCGTGTGGCGTTGGCACAGCGCCGGTGCCATCACCGGTGCACGGCAGAGGGGGCAATCGGAGTGAGAGTAAAGCCACATGTCTATACAAGGGGCGTGAAACATATGCGTGCATCTTGGCAGTTTCTTCACCTCTTCCCCATCCTCAAACGCCGATAAACAAACTGCACATTCATTCCCAATCCCTTCTTCCTCGATCGTCGCAGTCGCCGCCGCCGTCGCCATCGACCCCTTCTTGAATTTGAAGCTCGACAACAAATTCCTATTAGAACTCTGGAAGCTACGGCTTGAATTCACCATCTCTGCATAACTTCCAGCCAGTGCCGTTGAAGCTTGCCCGTGGCTGTCGTCGGAGCACCACTTGATAATGATGAGATTGTAAAGAACCAACACAATCGTCGCCGTTCCGATGACCACAAGGCCATAATACAACATGGGTAGGCTGGATTTTGCAGGATGAGACGTTGGCTGAGCAATAAAGGTTGAAGCAGAATCACCCATTTTTGGATTCAAAAGTGGGTCTGAAGTTCGAGGAAGCAGAAGAAGAAAAGGATTTCACAGAAATCTATTTTATGGGTGTTATTGGGAAGGAGGAGGAGAATAGTAATCATGAGGAGGAGAATATATATATATATAAGTGTGTGTATATATGTATAAGTGTGTGTATATATATGTATATATATTGGTGGGTTTAATTCATGGAACCAGATAAACTGTAAACTCCAGAGCATGAAGACAAAACAGAGTACAATCAGAGGAGCGAGAAACAAAGATGGATGAAAAAGAAACAAAATTGTTGATAAGGAAGAACACATGTTTTTTTCTCTCCAATAATTAAAAATAAATAAATAAATTAATTAAATTGCTGAATGCAAAACTTTTGTTCTCAAAACGACAAGTGGTAGAGATTGAGAAAGGCTTGGGATGTAGAGGAATGATGTCGTTTTAACGGTGGAAAGGGAAAACAGAGGCGACGAGGAAATGAGAAATTCGGAATTTATGAAGAGATTGTGGCGTACGAAGTGGCTACTTGGTTCAATTGGCTAATCCTCATTTCTAAAAGAAAAATATATATCCATAAAATTTTAAATTAAAAATATTATAATTAATATAGGGACGAAAACATCTATTTACTTTTATAAAATTAACACAAACACCATTTATCTTTGTAAAAAAAAAATATATATATAAACAATATATAGACTGTAATTGTCTATCGAACACTCCATAGATTATCTATAAACATTTTAAAATTTATGAGTATTTTTTTATTAAACTATTTTTAACTTTTTTTAAGAGATACTTTTGAATTTCTTAACAAAATTTAAAGGTATTTTCAAAAGTTTTTAAAAAATATTTAAAAAGTTAAAAAGAGTATGTTTAAACTATTTTTAACGTTTTAAACAAATTAAAATCTAAATTCTTGAACTTTTTGAAAATAATTTTAAAGATTTGTTTAGATAAAAGTATGAAATTGAAGTGTATTTTTATTAATTTAGCCTATATTTTATGAAAAATATAAATTTTATTTAAATTTTTTAAACAAAATAGTTGAATTAAAAAACTAAAATTTTGAACTTTGTAGAAATAATTTTAAAGATTTTTTTAGATGAACACGACTTATAATATTGTTTACTTTGAATATAGCTTTGTTTTGAGCTCCTAAAAGGCTTATCATTCACTAAATTAGCAGATGTGAAAAAAAGAAAAATCGGAGAAAGATCGGTAGAGAATTATAAATTAATTTATAGTTTGAACCATAAGAATAACCAAATGAAATTGGATAACAATAACCAAACAATATTCACAATTTTGCTTACAAAACTAATAAACTACCCAACCATTTAACACTTCCCCAAACCAATTACCTTCCATTTTTCTTCCTTATAAATTACAAACAAAATTCCTCCCCTTCTCATCTCACATTCATTCTCTCTTCGCAAATCTCCATAAAGTTACTGCGACTCAATTTTACACGGTAAACAAAAAATTACTGTCTTTTTTTCCCTTTTTTGTCTCCATTATGTTATTTCTCTTCGAATTTTTAATTATATGGTTTAGTTTTTGGATAATTCTTGGACCGGACAGCTGCCCGGCTGCCCCACGTGCCCGTATTATCATTATTTAAATATTTAATTAAACCCGCGAAATGGGAATGGAAAATCTTCCATCTTCCATCTTCCATGTTCGTCTCTGTGGAGTAGTAGCGGTGCACTCTGTTTCACCATTTTTTTTTTCTCTCATCTGTTTTCCACTGCATTTCTGCTTCTTCTTAGTTTTTTTTGTTCTCGTTTCTTGTTTGATCAAGTTTCGGATCTGAAAGTAATGAAAAATGGTCACTCTTATTGATTTGCTTTGGGGTTTCTCTGATATTTTCAAGGCTCGCTTCACAACCGGTGCAAAGCTCGAATCAAAGAGCTTCTTGTTGCCAGGTTTGAGATCTCCTTCTCGATTTCTTCGTGGCGTTCTGCCAACTGTATCTGTTTGGTTTGAATTTTGTATTGCTTTTGTTGCATATGTGGTTTTGATTTTGTTGGAAAATTGTTATGGCCTGAAATTTAACCTAGAATGTTAACGTTTGATTTTTTTTTTTTTTTTTTGAAGTAGAGTTTTGTGGTGGCATTGACTGTTATGTTAGTAAAAGATTAATTGAGAGGTGTGAAAGCAGAAAATGGCGGATAAGGAAGAAGCAAAACAAGTTGTTCTACAGATTTTGGATTATGAAGATGGAGGAGTTGGTGCGAGTAAAGATCTCAGTAAAATCTCTGTTGCTAAATTTCCTGATTTTGAGCTAAAAGAAACTCGGAGTTTTAGGTGCACAATTCCGAAATCTGTGGTTGGGAGCTCTTCTTCACACGAGATTGCTAGAATGAATCCCTATAAACCTCCCAAAATTCCGGCCGAATCGGCAGTTCGGCGACCATCGTTTGCTCGTTCTTCGTTTTCAAAGCCGAAATCAAGGCTAGTTGAGCCACCTTGTCCTCATGGTGTGAATTTGGAAGAAGAAACGTTTGCAGAAAAATCAATATCTGGTTCACCATTCTGTAGCTCTACGAAGATGGACTCCCCAGCTAGAATAACTGCTGTGACTAGTCCTAGAGAAGCTTTGAAATCGGTCCCAACAACTCCTAGAACACCATTTACTGGAAATGAGGAGGAAGATGATGAAGAAGTTTACAGAACTGCAGAACTGAAAGTGAAAGAAAGATCAGGGAAGAAGTTGACAAAAACCATTTTAATCGAATGGTTTTCATTTTTGTGCTTGACGGGGTGTTTGATTGCTACCTTAACAGTAGACAAATTGGCGACAAAAGAGATCTGGGAATTAAGGTTGTGGAAATGGTGTGTTCTGGTATTAGTTATTTTCAGTGGTCGATTATTTTCGCGGTGGTTTATCAATTGTCTAGTTTTCTTGATTGAAAGAAACTTTCTACTTAAAAGAAAGGTTCTATATTTTGTCTACGGGCTGAGGAAGAGTGTTATAGTTTTTATTTGGCTGACTTTGGTTCTTCTAGCATGGGGTCTATTATTTGATCGAACCAGCAAGAGATCTAAGAAAGGCCATGCGATTCTGAGTTATGTTACTCGAGCTCTTGGTGGTTCTCTCATTGGAGCAGCAATATGGCTGGTGAAAACTTTGCTGGTGAAGATCCTAGCTGCTTCTTTTCAATGCACTAGATTCTTCGATCGGATTCAAGAATCGATCTTCCATCAGTATATACTGCGCACCCTATCAGGACCTCCACTGATGGAGATGGCTAAGGGAATTGGGAGAACAGCAGGCACAGGGCAGTTGAGTTTCAGGCATTTGAAGAAAGTAAGGGACGGTGGGAAGGAAAGGAAGGAAGAGGTGATTGATGTAGATAAACTCAAGAAGATGAAGCAAGAAAAAATCTCTGCTTGGACCATGAGAGGGCTAATCCATGTTATAAGAAGTTCAGGGCTATCCACCATATCTAATACAATAGAGAATTTTAGAGACGAAGAGCTTGAACAAAAAGATAAGGAGATTCACAGTGAATGGGAAGCAAGAGCTGCAGCTTACCAAATTTTCAGGAATGTCGCAAAACCCGGTAGCAAGTGAGAACTTTACCGTCTGAAAGATCTCGTATTTCCAACTTCATGATAGTGATAGAATTTTGTTATATCTAATGCTTTCTATATGCGCCTATGGTAGGTACATTGATGAAGACGACCTCTTTCGTTTTATGAGTAAGGAGGAAGTTGATAATATGCTGCCATTGTTTGAAGGAGCAGTTGAGACTGGGAAGATCAAGCGAAAAACCCTGAAGAATTGGCTGGTAAATCTTTACCATATTTCTTTTTCTTCACAATAACTTAGGCCTGGTCCTTAGAAATGTATTTTGGATGTTGCAGGTCAATGTTTACGTCGAACGCAAGTCGCTAGCCCACTCGTTGAATGACACGAAGACTGCAATAGAGGAGCTAAACAAGCTTGCTTCTGCAACTGTAGCGATTGTTATTATCATTGAATGGCTACTTATGATGGGTTTGTTGACGACACAAGTACTCGTCTTCTTTTCATCACAGCTTCTGCTGGTGGTCTTCATGTTCGGTAACACTGCCAGAACGGTATTTGAAGGCATCATATTCGTATTTGTGATGCATCCATTTGATGTCGGGGATCGTTGCGTCGTAGATGGTGTGCAGGTAACTTTCTGAACTCTAAACTCAGAATGTTTTGGATTCTATTGTATAGCACACACTCACCTGGTTTGATGATTTTATAACTTTCAGTTGATCGTTGAAGAAATGAACATTTTAACCACAATTTTCTTGAGATGTGACAATGAGAAGATCTTCTATCCAAACTCTGTTCTTGCCACAAAACCCATCAGTAACTTCTACAGAAGCCCGGAAATGGGCGATTCCATCGAATTTTCGGTCGACTTTTCCACATCAATCGAAAGCATTGGAGCTCTAAAAGCAAGAATAAAATCGTAAGTTCAATTCAGTTTCTCTAGTTCTAAGCCTCATTATTCCATCTGCTAAAACAACTGCCATTGAGTTTGCAATCTATTTAGTTCCTTATCATCTTTTACTTATGTATTGCTCAGATACATAGAAAGCAAACCTCAGTTCTGGCGCCCGAACCACAGTATCCTCGTGAAGGAGATCGAGAATGTCAACAAGATGAAAATGGGATTACATGTTAATCACACCATAAACTTTCAAAACTACGGCGACAAGAGCAGTCGCAGGTCGGAACTAGTGTTGGAGCTGAAGAAAGCTTTCGAGGATCTCGGCATCAAGTATCATCTCCTAGCTCAAGAAGTTCAGCTCAACTATGTGAGTTCAGCAGCTCCTATGGTTCCACCTTCCCAGAGATGAAGGTGATTCTTTCACTTAACTCATTTTCTAGCAAGTCTTTGCTCATTGGCTTCAATGGAAACAAGAGGGCTTAGAAGAAGATGTAGTTTGTGATTTGAGCCAAGGAATCGTAAAAGATTCATAAATTGTTCTTAACAAGTTTTAAATTTTGTTTATGATATCATGAGAATTGACAATTCAAGAGACAAAATTTATTAACTGTTTTTTTTTTTTTTAATCATAATACATTTTTAATTTTAAATTTTTAATTTGATCAGTTAGCCTCGAACTATGTTAAGAGTTGCAATCACTCTTTTACTTGGTTAAGTATTCCAATCAAGCAATTTTTTTGTTTTACTCGGATCTCTCCTCCCCAAACTTAAGTCACTCGTATAAATCCCAATTTAATTGTAATTTAGATTTCTTTCCTAGTGAAGACTTTAAAACGTGTTTGGTAAGGGAAGGTTTCCATACCCTTATAAATGGTGGTTTGTTCTCCTCCCCCAACCAATGTGAGACATCACAATCCACCCCCTTTTGAGGCTATCGTCCTCGCTGGTACTCTTTCCTTTCTCCAATCGATGTGAGACTGCCTCCAAATCCACCCCCTTTGGGGCCCAACGTCCTTACTGGCACACCGCCTCGTGTCTATCCCCCCTTCAGAGAATAGCGAGAAGGCTGACACATCGTTCGGTGTCTGGCTCTGATATCATTTGTAACGACCCATATCCACTGTTAGCAGATATTGTCATCTTTTGACTTTTCCTTTCACGTTTCCCCTCAAGGCTTTAAAACCCATCTATCTGGTAGGGGAAGGTTTCCATACCTTTATAAATATTGGTTTGTTCTCCTCTCCAACTAACGTGGATATCACAAAGTTCTAAACATAGAGTTAATATCTCATTAAACACAATTAAATGTTTAATGACCTATCAGCAAAATAGTTAAAAGTTTTAAAATATATTTGAGAGACGTATTAAATATTTAATTGAAAGACAAACTAAAATAAAAAATAAATAATACGTGTAATGGGAGGCTTCTGGATTGGGCCAAGGCCGATAAAGGGCCTTCCTGCATAAAGCAAGCCCATAAGCTAGAGGCCCAAATAAAGGCCCAAAAAGTAGAAGGCCCTACCAGAAATTTCAAAGGTGATGGTGATTGGACCAATAGGATAAGGTTATCCACCAATAAAGCATAGAGAAGTTGCCACGTAGGACAGAGATGAAGATTTTCAATCCCACCCAAAATCTCCACCGCTTCTATTTCCCTAAAACCAAAATCCCCAAATTCGCATTCCCTTAATTCGCAGCAGAAGCTTCTTTCCATTCATCAATGGCTTCCGCTCCCGCCGTTTCAATGGCTCTCCCCTTGCCCTACGCCAGCCAGAAGCGGCTCTCCAACGACGCCTTCTTCAATCCATTGCCTTCTAGGTCTCGCAAGGCCATCCCCGCCGCTCCAAGGCTCGTTGTCGTCCACTCGTCTTTGAAGGAGAAAGCCGTCACTGGACTTACGGCCGCTGCGCTGTCTGCAGCGATGGTGATTCCCGAGGTTGCAGAGGCTGCTGGTCCTGGAGTCTCGCCATCGCTCAAGAACTTCTTGCTGAGCATTGCCGCTGGTGGAGTTGTGGTGATCGCCATACTTGGAGCTGTCATCGGCGTCTCGAACTTCGATCCGGTTAAGCGTGGCTGAGTGGATTCGTCGAGGAAAGTAAAATCCTCTTGTGGTAATCTTCTTCTTGTGTATAGCTTTTTTGTTGCACGCTGCTGTCTGTAGTAATTGATCCAATTTAGCTGTGAGTTTCAGTTCTGATTTTCCTCCATTTCTGTGATCTCGCTCCTGCTTTACTCTCCATTCATTCATCATTTCTGGAGCTTCGATCATAATTTTTCCAAGAACAATTTTATTTCATGTTTCTAATAAATTTTCAATCCATAAGAATTAATTTAGTAACACATAATTGTTTATTCACTATAATAGAACATTTAATTGTCGATTTAAATTTGATTTAAAATCAATTAATTTTAGCTACTAATATGAAAAGGGTCAAATGTTCATCGAGTATATTCTTCTTTTAAATTTTTAAATTTTACATTTTTTTATAATTTTGTTTCCATATTTAATGATAGATTCTGAATATTTATTTTTGAGTTGGATTTCCATTAAATTCATAAATTTGGATTTTATTTTTAAGTTTTTAATATTAATGTTCACTTTTCTGATATGGCGTAGTAACGTTATTTCAATTAATTTAAAGTATTATGATGTGGGTTTTTTAAAAATTAATTTTAAGAGTATGAAAAGTAGTGAATTTAATTAATTAAATTAAATTAAATTAAATAATAGTAATTTAGAATTAGTGAAAATTCATGGTCGTAAGTGTGTAAAATCATGAAACTTAAGGACTAAAAGGAAACTAACTCGTAACATTTTAAAATTTAGAAATATATTCTAAATGTATTTTTATATCTAAAGATTTATATTTGAATTAAAAGAAATGGTGATATATTGAAACAAGGATCAATAATAATAATAATAATAATAATAATAATAATTAAAATGTTTTATGATTATGATATATTAATCCCAATAAATGAATAATTGATTATTTACAAAGCTAAACATACTTTAATATTTGTGAAATATTTGGAACATATACCCGCATTTTGTATATAAAAAAAAATAATAAACGTGTTTTTGAATTTTTTATTTTTTTTTATTTATAAAAAAATAAAAGACATAATTGAAACTTTTAGAAGTTTAAGAGTATTTTTTGAAATAAAATATTAAACTGTCTTCGTATTTTTTAACTTTTAAAATTTTTAAAGATATTTTTAAATTTTCAAGAAGGATATTATTAAAAAAATTTAAGAGTTTAATTATATTTATTTATTTATTTTAGATACAATAAAAAATTTGAGCACATTTTTTTTTATTATTAATTTAGCCATTAAAATTAAATACATATACTATTTATAATTTAACTTTTTTTTTCTTTTAAAATACAAAATATTCTCTTTCAAAACTAGAAAGGTATATTTTTTTTAATACACTACCAAACCAAAAATAATAATAATAATAATAAATAATGATTGGAAAATAATAGCTAACTTTTGAAGCTTTAAAATTAATATATTAAATGCATGGTGAAGCTTTTTATTTATTGGATGTTGGAAAAATAGGGGGAAGAAAGAGAAAAATAAATAATTAAACAAATAGGCGGTAAAAAAAATGGGCTAAAAACCCCAATAATTCCAGGTAGTAATTTATTTATTTAAATTAATTAATTAATTATTTATATTGTGCCAAGAAAAGGAGGGGTTTAAGTTTAACCTTTTCTTTTCATTTTCAAATTTCCTAAATAGTTATGTTATGTACTTAATGCAATTATATTTTTTTTTACCTTGTGCAAAATAATTTTAACCATAAGGCGGCCGTAAATACTATATATTAAAACAAAGTAGATTAACGAACAACTAATAACCGTATGAACAATCATAGAAAAATCTTGAAAGTTTGGATCGAGACACTTCTAGAATGTTTAGAATTTCTAATGCACAGAGCATCTTAATGTTTTAAAAGCATCATTATAAATTTGATTCTTTTATCACGTTAAAATATGCGTGTACCTCAAATCGTGAATATTTGTTTGAAATGTCTCAACGCTCGCCTTCCTAAGTTTTATCTCCTATGTTTCAAAGGGAAACATCGAAAATTTGTCCCTAGCGTCTCAAGGATCTAACTATTTTCTATAAGTGCATCATACATTCGGTTTGAAAAAGGCAACTAAAGGGATTTCAACCTAACCGATTTCTAGGTACAATCGAGAGTGAGAGGAGACTTTTCAGAGCAAACAATAGAGTTTTTGAAGCCCGAGTTCGTGGAGATCAACACACCACACAAGTTTTTTCTCTTCTTCCCTTCTATTTTTTAGTTTCCATCACGACGTTGTTAAATAATATGTTCTTTTAAGGATTGATGTAACCATTGAGTTTGATTCCTTCCATTTCATATATACAAAGTGAGGTAGATGGGACAGAGATTTAGGTAACAGTAGAAATCTTTCTTCACTATCTCTCATATTCTCCGTTTAAACAGGGATTCTCCATCCTGTTCGGGACAAGTCCCTATGGAACCCCGACCTTATAAGTTAAACAGACATCTCCATCTCCAATTAAAATTTGACAAGTACACTTATAGTACAACAAAAATGACACCGTAGGTCAAATAATTGCCTCGTGAAACTAGTTAATGTACGTTTAACCAAAACTATATTGAAGGGTTCGAAATTTTAACAAATAAATAAAGGAAAAGTTTGTGTGGAAGAGGAGGGATGGCGTGCAATTACAAGGACGCCAGACCTAACTCCCAATTCAACAATATCTATGGTCTCTATCACCATTATTATTATCATATTAAACCAAAGTCTTTTTCTTTCTTTATTATAATTATTATAATTATTATAATTATTATTATTTTGTGTATCCATTTGAAAGGGCACGTGGGTTGATTATTGTTGTAATTATTATCATATTCCAACAACCATTGTAGAACTCAAATAATTATGCATCCAACACTCCATCATTTCCTTCAAACCCTACAAAATTTTCAATCTTTTCCCCAACCACTTCACTCTCTAATTCTGTTTCTTGCACCCTCTTTTACCCTTGTCCCTTAAAGAAGAACATCAATACCAATAAACTCTACGACCCAAAATCGAGAAACGGGATTGAATCGATTACGACTTGTTTCAAGTCGATAATATGAATAGAGTTGCTCGTTTGAGCTTTGCTGTAGTTCTTCTTTTTTCCTTTTAACATAGATCTGAGCTTATTTTTATAGTTTAAAGCTCGAAAAAGCAACCAACTTCTTTGGCTTTTGGCATAAACTAAAGTTCATCGAATATCATAGTCAAAAAGTATAGTTAGATCTTGCGAGTATGAGAATTAAAAAGAAAGAAAGAAAGAAAGAAAGAAAAAGGTTAGAAGCACAAAGATAAGAAGGAAAAGGAGAGGGGGTTGAGGAATCAAATCATGATCAAACAAGACTTATGGAACATAACTTGGAAGTGTTTTTCCAGCTTTTGTTGTTCAAGAATATACCTTTTTGTAAGGTAAAAGAAAAAGAAGGGTGGGAAATTTTAGAGGTCATTGCCCAATCCACACAACAGAGGCTTGTTTTGGAACTTTGTCTTCTACTTCAGAATGGCTGTTTGAACTCTGAGTGCTTTATTTTGAACTATCCAAAGAATACTATAATTTGCAAAGCAGATCCCACCAAGAAATGGTAACTGTTCACATGGAATAGAATGCAAGACTTCCATAATATCTATAATTCCAAAACAAAACGCAAACAAAAAAGGGTCAAAAAGCTAATCATCCTTTATCTCAGATTCTGTTTGGTTGGTGTTTGATGAAGATCAAAAGAGAAACCAGCTGAATCCTGATGTTCAGAGTTATCTTCCGTTTTCGTATTGTAGAACAAGCTCTGTAATATCTCAAGCCCACCGCTAGCATAGATATTGTCCGTTTTGGATTTTCCCTTACAGACTTCCCCTTACGGATTTTCAAAAGACATTAGGAATGTCCTCTTTGGGTTTTCTCTTAAAACGCATCTTCTAAGGAGAGATTTCTATACCTTTCATAAAGAATGGTTTGTTCTACTCCCTAACAAAACTCAATTATGGACAGTAAATTTTTTTTTTTATTTAAAGCAGAAACCACCAACAGAAGAGATCTGAGTTCATAAGACCCAAAACAGTAGCCTATAAGCTATAATTAGGGGCAGAAAGCTAGAACCCAGATGAGATTTTGGCCAAAAAAGTATTGAAGAAAGAACTTTTGTACCATTAGGGGCAGAAATCTGTTCTTATTTATTGTTTCTTGTTTATCGTAATCATTTCTAGTCGTATGTGATAGTCATTTCACATATATCATCTATCAAAAGTTCAGAATTTTGAATTTTTCACATATATCATCGATAAAGAGGTCAAAGTTTTGAATCTCTAAAAAAAACTAAGACAAGAAACAAATGCTATCTAACCAAGTCTATGCAGGTACACAGGGCATCAAAGTTAGAAACCAAAACAAGAAATCAGATGAGAACTTTATGCTAATTTCGCCAAGCAGATCCACAGTTGAGAACAGCAATTAAATACAGAATCAGGACGATTATTTTTCTCTAAGCAATGCAAGGATGATTAAGAACTAAGTAAAACTAGAGAGTTAAATCATACAAGAAAGTTACAGGGAATCTATTGAAATACTAGCCTTTTTTGACAGAGATGAGCAATGTTTTCCTTGTGTCCCACCACGCCAAAGAATGGAGAAGGAAGAATTTTGTGGCCTAGACAGCCCTGTTCCTCTTCTGGCCTGCTTTACCATCTGACTTCAAGGCTCCACTGGAATCACCTTCTGAAGAAACTTCCATGGATCTGGTGAAGGAACATGAAAGATCAGCATATAAGTCAACAACCCTCCTGATATTGTTGTTTAATTCTCGGATCAGACCCACATTTCTGTTTAGATTATCAGGGATCTTTGATTCGTGGTTTTGGTTTATCTCGCTAATCAGCAGCTTGTTTTGATCCAATATGTTTTGAACTTGAACAAAGTTCTTATGAAATGTCTGTAAAATCTTGCTATCGATCTGTGCAGTACTCCCAATCCCTGAAAATGTGTCGCCCTCCATAGTTTTACAGCTGAGAAGTCTATCAAATCAGAATCTTCTGAGCATCAGAACATGGAAGAAGAACAACAAGAAGATCATGAGTTTGTAATTCATGAATTTCTGTTTAATTTGAAATTTAAGCACATGAGACAAGAACAGTAGAAAGGAATGATGAGCACCACAATCCAGAATCGAAACAGAGGAATCAGATAAACAAAGATGGAGGATTTATAATAATTATGTGATATTTTAATTGATTTATGATGAGATAGAGAAAAAAGCAGAAAACATTTCTATAAAAGGGAACCTTTTTTAATGTGCTCAGAGAAAACCCACTAAGGCTCAGAGTTCTAAACAGGTATTCCAAGGACCCAAAAAAACCAGTCAATGATGCAGAAATATGAGCCCATCAGAGCATCTGAATAGCGAGACACCATTATTGACCCTCTCAAACACATACTCAACCTATGAACTCATGAACACATTCAAAGAGAAACTAAATCCAAATTTCCTCAAACACATCTCGAGATTGGGAAGGATTACGAACTCTCCAAACTCCCAAAACGCGGCAAATTCATCAACAAACACAAATTCAAATCACAACCCAGAACTCAATTCATAACAAAAATCACAACGCAGAAGCCAGAATCGTCAAATTAAAACACTAATTCCAAAAGAATCACAAAATCAACAGCAACACCGGCAGATAATATCAAAATCAATGTCTAAAAAAAAAAAAAAAAAAAAAAAAA